TTCTGTACTCCTGTCCCGTCCTACTTTGGAGGTTAACTCAGTGATACAGGTTCGCGAAGACTGGATATATGACCGGACAAGAGATACTTCTAACGGGAGGATTGAAGTAGTGAGGGCAATAAGCTTCACTTCAGCACCTTGACGTGCCAGCGTTATGCCACATTCGTGGTACCGTTGGAAAACCAGGGGCGGGGGCATTTGACACTGTGACAAGGGCATTTTGTTGAATCGCGTCTATTGAGACATATGTATCTAAGAATTACGTCGTAATATACCAAATTCGATCAAGGCAAACATCTATACCGCTTTACACTTTGGCCAACACTGGCTTCTGCTCGGGCACTTGTGTCAGGTGCTTGCCGTCGTTTATTGCGCTCTTGACGTTGTCGATGACCAGAACCTCCATTTCTTTCTGTATTCGCACGCTATCCGTCAGTTACAAGACTCTCAAAATAAGCAGCACTTGTTTGCATACCTGTGTGTCGACCGTAGCAGTGCCGATATGTGGCAGAAGCACAGCTCCAGGATGCTTGATAAGTTTGGGGTTGATCTCGGGCTCCTTCTCGAAAACGTCCAGACCCACGCTCCATACTTTGCCAGATTCCAAGCTGTCTGCGAGGGCTTCTTCATCAATGATGGCTCCTCTGGCAGTATTGACAATGATGACACCGTCTTTCATTGAGCCGAGTTCCTTCCTGCCAATGAGGCCCTTGGTAGCCGGCCCCAGCGGCAAGTGGATTGAGATGACATCACTGGTCTTGAGCAGATCTTCGAAGCTGACATATTGGGGAACCTCCTGTGGTGAAAACTGCTTGTCCAGATCGGCGACGGGCTTTCGGTTGTGATATTGGAGCTTAAATCCAAGCGCTGCAGCGCGTTTGGCGGTAGCCGTTCCGATGCCGCCCATTCCGAGAACACCAAGGGTCAAGTGGTGAGGATCGCGACCTAGAGGGCTTGCGCCTCGCCAATTACCCTCTCGCAGGGCCAACTGGGGGATCCATGCCCGCCTCAAGGCGCCTAGAATCAAAAAGATTGCAGTGTTGGCTGTGGCAGCATCTACAGCTGTAGGAGTGTTGGACACTGAGATTTCTGCACGCGACGATTGTCAGTAGTTGGTCCCCGTCACCGATTGATTTGCGAGGTGGGCTCATACTCCTGTCCGTGCAAGCTTGGACGTCGACCTGGTCATAACCCGCGCCGTTGTGGGAAATGAACTTGACTGAGGCGGGGAGATGAGAAATGAGCTCGGCATCGAATCGCCCAGTTATCTATTTGGTCCAAAATGGATTAGCACTCGACGGACCCTTGTCAAAAGATGAGCTTACATTGACAGAGTCGTATGTTCTCGAGATGGCAACAATGCTGTTGTATTTGCCGTTGTCGCAGTCGCGCAAAAACTCGTCTCTGCTTCCAGACGTCACTTGCTAGAAGTTTGGTTTGACTGTCAGTTCTCGAGGCTCTAATGTGACACATATTGCGATTCACGGGTGCATCTAACCGTAACATTGGCGATATCGGAGAGCTTATCGAACTCGGCGTGTGCGTGATGAATGACACCAAGCATCAGAACGCCAGGCTTTGTTGGGGAACTCATTTTGCAGCGTGATTGGTAATTGAATATCTTCAACTCTAAATAGGTGTACAGGAATGCTCTCCTTTTGTGTGATGATGAAAAAAAAAGGAATCAAGACCAGGAACGAAAGATGACAGGAAAGAAGAAGAAGAGAACAAGAATGTCAATGCGATAGTTCGTTCGGTTGTCAAGCGTGGGTGGGGCGGGGGGGCAATGTGGGGGCGGGCGTCGAGCTGTTTGGTGTTTGGCGTTCGGATGTACAGTGGGGTCCCAGTAATTCCGAAGATGTATATGTATTTGCCGATTGGCCCCAAGTCATCGAACCACCAGTCCAGTGCGCGCGGCTATTGATGTTCACCCCACTGCGGATAGTTTTGCCGGTTTTCCCGCAAACTGGAACATCATACCACGGCATTTGACACAACTCATCACATCAGAGACTGCTCGCCCGTGGAGATCACATCTCTAAGCTGATGGAATTGCAGCCGATCTACGGATTAGACGCCGACACGTAGCATGGCGCGCTCCAAGGGCAAACGGGTCTCGCGCGCATGCCTATCGTGTCGAATGCGCAAGACAAGATGCGACCTGTAAGCTGAGAACAACGTGTCCGCAGTGGTGACGACCCGCTGCGCAAGGTTTTCCCGTCATCGCCTACTGACGCTTATTGGATGAGCAGTGACTCCGAGGGCATGTCTGGCTTGCCGCCTTGCCGTCGATGTGTTGAGCAACAGTTGGAATGCGTGCTTGCGAAGTCCAGACGTGGTGGTCGTAGGATCAAAGGCGTCCGGAATTCCGCCATTCAACCAGCGAAGCGCGACAACGAACGCGGCGCAAACTCGGATACCCAAGGGCCACCTAGCACCGCACACGAAGACGATGAAAGTGATTACCACAGCAGGCAATCAAGTGACTCTCGTCCCAGCCACCAACCGGGCGGGATACAAGGATGGCCATCCTCTCCACAACATACCGGCAACTGGCGTGCGGACAGCCCCGATGGCGGATGCGCACCAGAGATGGCAGGCTCACGTACAAGTTCGGATGGACTAGAAGGGCATATTGCTTCCACAGACCTCTTGAACCCCTCGGACGCCCTTGACCTTCTTGCCCAAGTTGCTGATTTGGCTCCAGGTCGGCAGCGTAATGCAATAGCAGGTCAAGCAAGCGCCAATATCCGCCATGTTGACGGCATGCAGCAAACAGTAGGCAGACCTGCTGCGAGCTACTATCCTCCCTTGGATGATGGCATTCTGACACATTCAGAGGCAATCTATCTTCTGAAAAGGTATGTCCCAAAAGACGAACCCCATCGCCGAGCACCTCTCCCTAATCTTGTGCTCCATCAAGGTATCACGAGAAATACCATCCTTTCTTCCCAGTCGCACATAGCAAAATCTTCGGGGGCGGTTCAATTTCCGAATGGGCCGAGAAGGAACCTCATCTTCTGACAGCTATTCTCACCGTTGCTTCGAAGGACGACCCCACGTGGTTTAGGGTGTACGACGCATGCTCTCGACATATCGAGAGCTTCATGTCAAATCTCATCTACGCCGGCCCAGCGTCCATTGGCTCTGTTGAGGCGCTTCTGATTCTTGCAGAGTGGGCACCACAACGGCCACAAGAGAACTCTGCTATCGGCTGCGGTCAGGAGGATCATGGAGCCTGGATGCTTGTGGGGTTGGCTATCAGGTTAGGATATCTTCAAAGACTGGAGCAAACCGCACTTCTGCCAGATGACGGAAAACTTTCAGCAGAGATGAGTCGCAAGCGCGTTGTCTGGGCAGGTAAGCAAGGAATTATTCACAGGCGCTCGCTCCCTCCTATCTCTCGCTCGTTGTCTCTTCCTGAACGGATATTGACAAGTTGCAGCATGCTATATGAGCGACCGACAAGTCTCTATCAGACTCGGGAAAGGCTTCTGGTCACGCGGCCCTGGGCCGGCTCTTCATCTGCGAGCCGATGACTTCCCAACGTTACAGGCACAGGTTCTCGGCCCTGACAACATGGGACTGTTGTTTCAAGCCCATCTCGAACTCACACAACTCATCAGCAATGCTCACGACATATTGTACTCATCTACGAGTCACAGAAAGCAGCTCTACATCAGCGGAGAATACGTCAGATACATTGTAAGTGATACGGTTGACTCAAGAAACTCTAAATAAATCCATACTGATGTCCCGCTCAGGACGATTTTGCTGCCATGGTGCGCAAATGGAAGTTGACTTGGGCAAATCATAGCTGTGAGTAATACACATCCCCGCACTTACTCAAGCCATTTTGCTGATGTTTGTACCAACGCAGTCACACCACCAGTGAAGGCGTCACTTGTCCTGTCTTTCGAGTTCTTGCGGCTCTATATCAATGCCTTTGCTTTTCAAGCCAACCTGAATCGTGCAGCCGCTCGCAATGCCCAGGAAGAACAAGAGAAGGCGAGCAGCCCATTGTTCTCCAATGTCGCTGGGAAACCAGACGCACGCTTCATCTACGAATCCATTGACGCTGCAAACTCGCTGCTCAGCATTTTGAACAGTTTCATAGACCCAGTGGCTGGCCTCAAATGCATGCCTCTCAAGTATTGTCTCTATGTGATCTACGCGGCAGTATTCCTTTTCAAGGTGAGCTGCTCGGAAATCATAGCGATCTCTGCAGCATGTCATAGACTAACATCGCTGGAAGGCCCGACTGGCAGGAGCAATCAGCAGTGAAGGGGATCGTGGCGTTCAGCGGGCCATTCACGGGACCATCATGCAACTACAGAAGACATCAAATAATCCGCATAGCCTCGGGAGGCGGTACGCGATGTCACTTCGACTCCTCTGGAGGAAATCGACGACGAAGCAAACAAGCAAGAGTTCGGCACGCAGTGACCCAGTGACAGAGCAGCCGGAGCCCACGGTTGATCAAATCGAACGACAGGAACGGGCCACGCCGCCGTCGTCAGCGACGACTAATAAGCCTCCCACGGACATGGATCCGTTGAGCGGATTTTCATGGCGGGACTTGGATTCCTTGGGCCAGTTCATAGCGCACAACACAACCATGAGCATGACGGATGGAATGATGGGGGCCGCAGATTTCGACTGGGAGCACAGCTCGGGAGGGCTAGATGATTTGGCCATGAGACCCCAATTCGACACGATGTGGGCGGGACATGACATTATTTTTTGAAATGGGGTTCGGGCCACTTTGTGTATACTTTTTATGTTAATGGGGTGTTGAAAAAAAAACCAGGCAATACATCGAGGCAAATGAGACAGAGTTACGAATAGGAAATGAATGCTCTCCTTGACTTTTGCATAGGGTATGTACTCCGTAGACGAAGCCAAGTAGGCGTGGCGACGATGTATGATGGAAAAGTTTCATATGTCATTAAAATCCCGTCCCGCAGTAACAGCGCAGCGGGGTCATAGCCCCATTGTTCCTCCGGGTAGTCTAGTTGGTTTATGGCGTCTGACTGTAATGGATTCACAGCTCTATCAGAATGTCGCGTGTTCGAATCACGCCCTGGAGACTTTTTTTGCAACGTTCTTCATTAAATATTTTTCTTCCTTTCTTTCTTTTTACGAAAATGGGAAAGGAAGAAAATACGCATGCATATAAATTAATCGCTTCCTTTTTTCTCGTCTTGGCCTGGCCAATTAATCATTCTCTTGCGCCCCAGCTGCAAGGTTCAAGGCATTGGAGTTTTTTCCAATTTTTCTTCTGTCGTCTTCTCTTCCAGCCGATGCATCAGTTTCATACCGGTTGAAGCGCGCGCACGTTGCCCTCGGCTGATTAATTCTGGGTCGCCGCAGGACTGACAGACAGCCTCTATCGCAGCAGAGTTTGTGAGGAATCATTCGTTGTTGGCCGTCTCTCTCTCACGAGCTCGGAAATCACGATGCGCAGAGAATACAGGTACCTATTCGCAGTGGACTCCTGTCTACATTGGGAAGGTCACAGCACGGCACGAACAGCGATGGATACGAATGCTTGATTTAGGACAAGGGCATTGAAACAGGACATTTTTTCTCTTTGAATTCCTCATTTATCCCAGGTAACCTTCATGCTCGTGGGGAACGGCCACGTCTCGCTCCACGTCTCGTTCATGTAGCCTCCACCAGGTGCCTTCTTCAGCTCACCCAGCGGCCCGGGCACTCTCTTGAGGCCTTGCTTTTTGAACAGGGCGCGGAAGAGCTCTACCAAGGCCACTTGGCTGATCTCTTTGCCCAAGGACGCGTGGGGGCCCTCGCTAAAGTGGATGTATGAATCAATTGGTCGTCGAGGGTTGACTTTGTTGGCTTCAGGGAAGTGAGCCTCCTCGTGGGCTGCCGTACCGGATGAGAGGGAGAGACGATCGCCAGATTGGACATGGACTTGGCGTCCGTCCGACTCGGTGATGACATCCGACTCTTCTGAGGCGTGGCGGAAGAGGTTGAAAGCACCGGCAAGCCTAACACCTTCCATGGCATACCCAAGTAGGAGTGTATCGTTAGCGTCATTCGGTCCGGCGACAGCGAGGCGCTGAACCTCAGGCAGGTATTGCTGGCCTTCTTCGGAGAGATACCAATCCACAGCTTGGGCAAACTATATTGATTCCCTCAGATCTCAGTATTATGAATCTCACTGGAAGGAAGCAGAATCACGGATTATCAAAAGATTCATACCAAATGTCCTTGGCTAGGCACTAGACCAGCAGCGGTGGGGAGAATCTGTCCCCATGTAATATCGTGGGTACCAAGGCCAGTCTTTGACAGCGACTTGACGAGATCAACACCGTATTGAGAGAGCGGATCACGCTTGGCGGCGGCGCCAGTATAAAGAGCTCGTATACCCAGTGTCTTTGCTAGTTTGACGTTCGTCTCAATAATGCCGGCCAGTCGCTCCGTCAGCTCTTTGGCCTGTTGGCGGAGAGGAAACGACTTGACTGGATCTATATCCAAAAAGATGCAGACAAAGATGACAGAAAGTGTCCGGTGTAGCTCATGCTCCGAGATGACTCCCTTTGGATTCTCAGTAGACTTGAGAGGCAGATTGAAGAGTCTCGCGGCGAAGTGGGTATGTGCAAGATTTCCAACATCGCGTACAATGTCGACTTGGCTTTTCCCGGCAAGCTTGAACGATTTCTCGACCAGCAGTCTCTCCGTAATTCTTGCGTAAAAGCTCTTGATGGATGCCTTCCAACCGTCCTTTCGCAGCAGGGCTTGTAAATTCGAACGTTGTTCTACATGTGCCGAGTTGCCCCCTGAGAGGAACAGCTTGCTGCCCGCTGAGCCAGTGAGGTTCTTGAAACCCTTCTCCCAAGCGAGTTTGTACTTGTTGTAGTCGGGTATAGTGTACTTAGCGGCGCTGTAAGACGAAACTTTTACCTCGGGAGAGGCGTACACAGGACGAGAAAAGTCGAACCTGTCTACACGCTTGAGATTGGTCAAGATCTTATGGTTCTCAGACGGGGTGACCATGGGGTAATGCGCATACACCGAGTTATACCGGAAGTGGTTCGGGAACGCGCGGATGAAAAGCTTGTAGAAGACGCAGCCATGGTTGACCTCGAGGTCATAATTCGCTTCATTGAATCCCCACTGTGTCAAGTACCCAGGGTGGTAGTCAGTTGTGTAATGCCTGTCACCACGCACCAAAGACACGGCGTCCGACAGAACTACGCGAGAAATTGTGTAAGTGGGTGCAATACCGACACCAGGAACCATCGGAGTTTTTCCCTCCTCGGCAACAATTCCAGGGTACAGCTCAACATGATCAGGGTGTTGGTAGAGGTTGCGAAGGGATTCTGCGACGCCAGGATCCGAGTTGATCTCTTCGAATGTGTCATATGCCTTCAGCCCAAAGTGTTTGCGGAATTCGTTCAATCCCGCAAGGTTCCATTTGCGACCGCGAATGATTCCCAGCATCTCGACTGGTTTCATTATTCGAGGCACGTTTTGGGCGCCAAAGGCACCACCGGGCTGCTCAATCGCGGTTGAAACGCAATTGACGAGGTCGTCATCATTGAAGCTGCCATCAGGCCCGCGGGTGAACCCACCAAAGGTTCTCTCAGCAGGGTCTTTGGCGATGGACATCTCGAACTTCTTCACTGCTCCAATCAGGACCCCGAGATTCATATCGCCGTAATTATCCCCGAGAAGCTGCGCGTAAAAGTTCTGAATCCATTCGTCATCCATTTCAGAGATGCAAGAGTGCCAGCGATAGCACAAATTGAACTCTGCAGAGACGACGTTGCCTACACCACTCTCAGAACCTTTGGTCGTGCCTTTGGCTACGCCCATCTCTTGACGGGGGTCCAGGGTCCACTCTGTATCAACCCGATTGAGGTTAACAATGTTGCGCACATAGTCCACAAGGGTAATGTTGATGTATAGCCCCGAGGTGACAAGGCGAGCAGTCTGGAACAAGTCTTCGTCGAGCTTTTCCCAAGCAGCCTCGAGAGCCTCGCCTTGCAGGCTTGGGTGTGGTTTTGCAAAGCGATTGCTCTCATTGATGGCAGCCAAATTCGTTGCTACATGATTGTGGAAACGGTTGAACATGACGAGAAGAACACAGACGCCAGGAGGGTTTCCGACGAGACGCTTATCGGCGAACGTATCAGGCTTGAGCTTGCCGTCTTTGAATGTTCGAATCGAGTCCCTTGATTCTCTACTGTTTCCATAGAGAGGTGAGAGATCAAGGTATGATGAGGAATCGTTCTGATTTGGGTCCTTCGAGTTTGTCCAGAACAGGTCTATGGAGGAGGTTGTGAGCAATGGTGGAATGGAAAGATGAACGAAGCTTCCGTTCTTACCATGAATGACAATAGTAGCCCAGTACCACATGATGCTAGACACATTATTTGGGTTCTTCTTGAACACATCCCTAGCCATGACAGCTTCGTAAATTGCCTCAGGGTCTGGCAACGCCCCCATGTTGGCTGGCCCAGGCTTGACGGAGCGTGCATATGGCGTACCAGCGGCACCAAGCTTCGGCATTAATGGATTCTAGACGTTGTGAGCTTTCCCAACCGTTTGGATGGATGCAAGCTTTCGGCCGCTCTTTGAAGAATCTTACATTATTGGAGCCGTCAGCTTGGCGGTACTTGAACGCATCCCCCATGTAAAGCAAAGGGGGGTGATCCAACGAGTTCCACAGCCCATCAATAAAAGTATTAGTGAGGGCTTCTTGTCTCTTTGATTTGTTAGGCATCGTCGCGACCAATTGAATGGTGCGCTCCATGATCATTGTCTTGTCATCTTGCAGAGTCTCGCGCTTGAGCTTGGCGGTGATGATATCCTTTAGTGTTTTTAAGTCTAAACAACTCTTAGCACTCCCAAGGCAGTTTCTCGGCACAGAAATGAGAAAGGAGGGACTTGCCTCCCCAACCAAACGACCTGAGATCTTCTATGAGGCCTGGCCGTTTCAGAATCGGTCTATAGGTTCCATCTCCCCTCTCGACAGGAAGCGGCCGCTTAGACGCCGTGCGCAACTGCATCAACGAGCCCATGGAGGAAGGCTTTTTCTTCTTGTGAGACTTGTGGTCTGACTGCTGTCGCGCGACTTGATTTGAAGCTTCTCTGTGTTGATCATGATTGCCGTTGGATCTGTGGCCGTTGGCGTGTGTGCCATTGGCATACGCACCGTTTTGCGCGCCATCGGCGATACGCTCACCATTGATTTCCCCCCGAGGAGACATGATTGATTGTTACTCTGGCGGAGAACTACGATTCAGTGGGAGCACAGAAACCTTCTTGTGCATTTTCTGAGCCCTGGCTTTCCTTATATATGATTTGAACAAAGTCCAGTCACACACGCCGACAGTAAATTGGACCACACCAGACTGAGACAATCAGGTCGCTTATTTGCGACAATATCTTCCTTTTGGGGGGGGGGGGGTTTGCTCAAGGCTGGCCGGCTGCGTACAACTATTACTGGGAGCCAGCATGATTGGAGCATCGCCCATTGTCATGACCCATGGCTTATGACTCCATGAGCATACCCATACCGGGTCTTGATTCTTCACCTCTTGAAGGAAAAGGAATTATTGACGTTGGAGGGGGGGTTGTGTATGGTGCCATTGAGCGGCGCTGCACGATCCCCAGCCCGTAAATCGAGAGAAATATCGAGCTAATAAAGCAGCTTGCAGGTATCGACTGGCATAAATTGTTAGGTTCCAAGTTCAGCAGGGCGCAGATGGCGTTGTCACAAATCCGGCTCTCGACAGACTGACCAATGTCCTTTCTGGCCAACCAGGCGGCCCATCGTTGCGCGGCACGGGAAGTGAATCCCGGCCTGGTAATACTACAGTAATGTATGAACGACGACGCTGGTGTGGCGTGTCGTGAATGGCCAACCATCTGGAATTCGTGCAGACCGGCTGGACCCAGGTAGTATTCCGTACGGAGAAAATCATACATGTCTCACGAAGCAACTCTGGCTCATCTGCTATCGTATCTCACAGACAATCGATGAGCATTTCTTGATCGTTCCAGCCGTTGAACATGGTCATTTTCGGCCAACTTGACCATGTTTGGCCAGTATGGAACC